CTCCAGCCCGCAGGCCGACGCTATCCACTGAGCCAAACCGGTTTTGGCTCCCATTCTTAAATATAAGTAACCAACCAAGAATAACAAGACATCTAAAGATAAGAAAGCTAGAGACCAAGACAGACAAAGCAAGCAATTTGGAAAAAACAGATTAAGTGAGAAGAAAACTTCCCAAAACGAAGGGATAGTTAACATCCTCTGACAAGAAAAACTATTGTGCCCGGCCCATGTGGCTCTGTGGTTGAGCACTGAACTATGAACAAGAAGGTCACAGTTCGATTCCAGGTCAGGGCACATGCCTGGGTTGCAGGCTCGATCCCCAATAGGGGGCATGCCACAGGCAGCCAATCAATGATTCTCTCTTACCACTGATGTTTCTCTCTCTCTCTCTCTCTCCCTCCCTCTTTGAAATCAATAAATTAAAAAAAGAAAAACTATTGCATCCTTAAAACAAGAATAATATGTTTATTAAAACCAAAATACTCAGAACAGAAATACTTCTGGATATCAAAACTATGATATTAAAAATTGAAAACTCAAAAAAAGGTATGAAAGCCCTGACCAGGTCACTTAGTTGGTTAGAGCATCGACCCAATAACACCAAGTTTTTGGGTTTGATCTCTGGTCAGGGCACATCAAATCAATGTCTCTCTCTCTCTCTCTCAAAATTAATTAATAATACAAAGAACGGTTGAAAGATAAAGTTTAAGAAATCTTCCAGCAAGCAAAGCAAAAAGACTAAGAAATGGAAATCAAGAAAAGCAGAGGTCTCATCCAGAACCCCAACATACAAATTCAAAAATCTTAGAAAAAGAAAACAGAGAAATAGAATGAAATCAAAGAAGAAATTCAAGAGGAACCCCACCACCACCACCACAGAGAGGCACGGATGTCCAGAGAGAAGGTGCTCACTGAAAAGCCAGCTTGTGAATGAAGACAGGCCACACCATAGCTCGTCACTGTGAAACGTGGTGAGAGATTCTATAACCTTCCAGGAGGAAGTAAAAGGCAGGTCGGTCATCTATGAAAGATCAAGAAAAAGAATGGCTTTCAACTTGCCTCAAAGGTAGAGCAACACTGGAAGGTAGAAAACAACTAAGTAATATTTTAAAAACTCTTAAGGAACTTCTGACTCAAAATTCCACAGTGAGCCAAACAATCAATCAAATCAGTAGAATAAAGACATTTTCAAACATGCAAAGCCTACAAAAATTTACCTCCCTTACATCATATTTAAGGAAGCTACTGAGAGACAGGCTCCGTCAAAACCAGGGAGT